AATGACACACACCATGTTTTTAAAAAGCACCTGTGAATTCCCACATGAGAACACCCGATAGAGTCCAGACTAGCTCTCCTCAAAACTCAGTGTCCACAAACACAAGGAGCCGCTGAGACACTGTCCCAGCCCCGCGGGCCTGAGACAGGACAAGGCCCTGGATGTGGAGATAGGGACAGGATGCTGGCGTGGTGCAGATGGTGGAGAGTCTAAGCCATGTGGCTTTGGCTGATGATGGTGCCACAAGAATGGCACATTCATTGGAGCCACGGAGCCACACGACTGCAAGATATTAGTAGGGGAAAAGGGCGGGCGGTAGTTCTCTCTGTACTATTATCTCCATTTTTCAGTCATCTATACTGTTGTAAAAAAATAAAACGGGATCTAATTTTTTTTAAATGTACCTATGGTAGAAAGGATGCTCAAAAAATGACAGTGTTTTAGATGAAGACAGTTTAGAATTGGGGAAGCAGAAAGAGGTTGAGAGAAGGCTGCAAACATCCTAGAAACTAGGAGATAAAGATCTGAGAAACTTTGACTGCAGTTGATAACGTGAGCGAAGAGCTGACATTTGCAAAGAGTAAACTTCAGTGTTTCCCTGTCACCCACAAAGACAAGGATGTGAGAAGATCCAACTGTAAAAACTAAAGTGTGTACACCTTCACATTTGTCATCTGCTCGTACAGAGCTCTTCTCCAGGCATCACAATCTGTTTTAATCAAAGACAGACACCAAGGTGGCCCTCCCCCTGGTGGCCCCCATCATTTGGTTATGCTTGTTTAGTTTGTTTGGAGACAAGTGCTGGTCTCTACTCTAACCTGGCTTCTTTTCTTTCCATCCATCCATCCATCCATCCATCCATCCATCCATCCATCCTTCCTTCCTTCCTTCTCTCTCTCTCTCTCTCCTCTTGGGTAGGGTGGGGGGCACACCCAAAAGTGTTCAGGGATAACCCCAGCTCTGCACTCAGGAATCACTCCTAGCAGTGCTCAGGGGAGATGCCGGGGATCAAACCCCAGTTGACTGCATGCAAGGGAAGCACTCTATCCGCTGTACTATTGCTCCAACCCTATTCTCCTCTTCTACAGTTTGGCAAAGAGGCTTGTCACATTTCACATAGCACAGGTCAGTAATAATATGGCTCCAAATTTGTTTAAGATTATATCATTTGCTTGTCTGCTAAAAAGTATTTTAATGGCAGGAGGGAAACTGGGGACATTGGTGGTGGGAAATGTACACTGGTAGAGGGGTGGGTGTTGGAACACTGTATGACTGAAAGCCAATCATGAACAGCTTTGTAACTCTGTATCTCACGGTGATTAAATTAATAATAATAATAATAATAATTTTTAGAGGGATTTGGGCCATACCCTGCAGTGCTCAGGGGCTATTCCTGTGATCATGAGTGACCCTAGGAGGGGATTGGAGGGTCCTAAGCAGTGCCAAAGATCAAACTGAGGTCCAACACCTGCAAGGGCCTCTTACTCCGTGTACTGTTTCTCTGGTCCTGGTTTGCCTGTCTTGTTTGCTTGTTTGTTTCTGGGTCACACGTGGTTGCCCTCATGCCATGCTCTATGCTAAGGGATTACTCCTGGTGGTGCTCAGGAAGCTATATGCAGTGCCTGGGATCAAACCAGGTTTTGTGGCATGCAAGGAAAGTACTTTATCTCCTGTACTATCTCTCCAGCCCTGAGTTTACCTGTCTCCCTCCCCACCCCCTGCAGTGCTCAGGCCTAACTCTTGCCTCTGTGCTCAAGGATCACTCCTGGTAGTGCTCGGGGCACCAGATGTGGTGATGGGGGATGGAACCAAGGCTAGTCTCCTGCAAGGCAGGTGCCTTCCCTGCTTTCCTCTCTCTACAGGCATTTTGCTTGAATTACCCTCAATTTCCACCACAGCCCTGGGCAGGCAGGACCATCCTTCCCAATTCCCGACCAGGAAATAGGCCCAGGGAGCTATGGTGGAAACTGAGGGTAATTCAAGCAAACTGCCTGCTCACTCACCATCCACGCTGCTCTGCCTGGGGGTTCATGGGGAGCTAGAAACTTCCACCGCCCTTCCCCCCACGCCACCACTGAGCTGGACTGTGGGAAGGGGCCCCTTGAAATCCAACACTTCCAGTCAGTGTCTGAGCCCATAGCTCTCGGACCGGAGCCAAAAAGCTCATCTACTTCTGTGGGGCTTAGAGAACAACTGGCAGGTTACAATGAAGTGGAGTTGACTGGCAATCCCAGCGTCCCAGGGAGAGCCCAGGACTCGGGTGTGTGTGTGTGTGTGTGTGTGTGTGTGTGTGTGTGTGTGTGTGTAGGGGGCAGGGAAGGCAGGGCTGTGAGGCCTGGAGTGAGCTCAGCAGTGGCCAATGGGAAACCAGAGGTGGCAGCTGCTTTCCAGTGTCCCTACCCCATCCACCGGCATGGAACAGGACGTCACCAGGAGTGACTGAGTCTAATGGAGCCCGTTCCGGACAAAAGGATTTTTCTTCATGTTAGCACAAACGTAGTCTGCTGAGGTTGGCCGAGGCTTTGAGTAGAGACGTAAAGGTCACAGACAGGCTTTGGGGAATGTCCAAATCCAAGGACAGTCCCTGACAAGTTTCCCTGGGACAGAAGTACAGAAAACGCATTTCGTCTGCAGCTTTTCACCCTGTATGTCCTTAACCCACATCTCAGGAACACGGAGCAGGACCTAGGGGTTATGAGGTCAGGGCTCTTGGATGATTACTTTCTGGTGGGGGGTGTTTGGGCCTCATCCAGCAATGCCCCAGGGCTATTCCTAGCTTTGTGCTCAGGAGACCACATGTGATGCTCTGGATGGAATCATCAGCCTCACCCCTGTGCAGTCTCTCGGGCCGCCTCCTGTATTTGAAGAGCCGGAGTCTGCATGCTAACTCTTCAGAGCTTCCCAGCTGAGAGGTCAGTCTCAACTCCTTGGGGTCCAAGGAGGCAGCAGCTACCGTTATGAACCATTCCTGATGCTTCCAAACCTGTTGGGACTTGGCGATGGTCATGCGCCACCTCCGTCCTATGCCCAGATGTCCGAATAAAGGTGAGCCGTCAACTCGAGTCACCTCACAGATGTTCACCTAACCAGGATTCTCCAACATCAAAGGCCAAGAGAACAAAACAGCCAAAACAATATCAAAACACTTCAACATTACTACTGACCCAATATTGGGAAGTCTTAAAAGGATTTAACCGTCCATCTTGTTTCCATTCAACTGAGGCAACTTCACGGGCAATTTACCAGCGGAATGCCAGCTTCAACTCTGTCCCCTCCAAATGGCCTGGGAGGACCTGAGTAGGACTTAGATCCCGTAGGTGTTAGTTTGCAAGTTGCCCCTTAAATTGTGGTCTGACTCTGAAGTGGCTGTTCAACGCAGGCGTGGAATGAATTCCACAGCAAACTCTGTAACAGCTGTTGTGTTTGTCTTTAGATGCTCTAAGGCTCCCAGTCCCCAGCGGCATCCAGCTCCATGAACCTCCTCCTTTTCCACCTCCCTGCCCCCTTAACCCCCACCCCAGGATTCTCCACCCCTGCCCCGCCTCCCCTCCCCTCCCACAGGATTCTGGGCAGCCCTGCTCTGTGGGGGAGAGTAGCTGGGAAGTGGAGGTGTGGCAGGAATGCGCAGGTAGGAATGAACTCGGCATCCCCGGAATCTGCCAGGGGCTACGCTCACACCCTTCTGCCCGCATGTTCTCAGCTGCCTTGGTGACCCTCAGGGGCTGAGACATTTTTTCCATGCCCCCTGCTGAGGGAATCTAGTTCGGGGGCGAAACACAGGACCCATGCACCCCAGCCTGACTTCAGCTATGTGAGAATCTTGAGCAGGTGACTCCCAGGACCTCAGTGTTCTCCCCTCTCAAATGGGAATAAGCATGGCACTAGGCTGGTCTGCACAGCCTAGCAAACGGGGTCAGTTTCCTTCCTGCCAGAGTTTCGAGGTGGGTCAGGAAAGGGGTTGCTGTTCCTGTAATCAGTTTTGTTACTGTTACTGGGGAGTGAACTGGAGTAAACAAGTGTTTTGTTGCACTGTAGCACTGTCCTCCTCAAACTGTTCATCGGTTTGTTTGAGTGGGCATCAGTAGCATTTCCATTGTGAGACTTGTTACTGTGTTTGGCATGCCAAATACGCCATGAGGAGCTTGCCAGGCTCTGCTGTGCGGGCGGGATACTCTTGGTAGCTTGCCGGGCTCTCCGGAGGGACGGAGGAATCGAACCTGGGTCGGCCGAGTCCAAGGCAAACACCCTACCCGCTGTGCTATTGCTCCGCCCCCAAGTGTTGCAAGTGTTTTGTTAATCCAAGCAAATAACCTGCTCCATCAACCAGAGGCCCGTATTTTTATGAACTTAAAAACAAACAAAAACAAGGGTGGAGTCTAGGAGAATCTTAGAATAACAGAATGAGCAGAGCACTATTGAGACTTTCCCAGAAGCCTGGGGAGTTTCTGAATCAAAGTGAGAGAACAGCGGCTCCCCTGCCCCCCTGCCCCATTCTCAGAGGACTTGTATCCAGGGGCAAATGGCTCGAGGTTCCCCTTGGACTCCCCCAGCTCATCTCCAAGCAGCTTCTCAAATATTCCAGCAGGAGAAATGAGCGAGCAAGGGAGCAACCCTTCCCAGCACTTGCGGGGTGAGCCTGCCTGCACACCCTGGGGTTTCCTCTTCCTTCACACTGAGTCACCATCTCCTGTGCCCCACCCCAGAGAACCTGTGACTCAGCCCAGGGGAGTCTCACCGAGCCCCACTGTTGTGGTGGGCTGGAAGAACAGAGCCAAGGGTGGCTGGAATCCCAATTCCTTCGGGGAGGGGGGGTGTCCCCCAGTGAGGAAACCTTTGCAGGTGGAAAAGAGGGAGCTCAGAATAGCTGTGCACCAGGATACCACGCACAGAGGACCAGAAACTGCAGGAAGTTTCTAGAAGGCCAAGCTGCTCAGAAGGGAGGTCAGCACCCAGAGCCTAGTGGACAAACCCGCCCAGCATGAGCCACCGCCCACACTCACCCAGGGCTCCCTGGCAGATGTCGGTACGGGTGGCTCCTCCGAGGATGAACTGGGGGTCCTCGCAGATCTCCTGAGGGCGAGAGTCACAGGTCGTATCAGTGACCCATCCAGGTGCTTGCTCGGTTACCCCTCCCCACGCCCCTAGGAAGAGTTCCCCTGAACCCTGCTCTGGGGGATCCTGGTGAGGAGTTATGAGGAAGTGCACAGATACTCCCAGCTAACAGGGCCATCCCACGTCTTACCACTTTCAAAACCTGTTGCCACCTCCTCCAGGAAGCCCTCCATCATGCAGAGCCCTCATTCATCCCTTTGGTTCTAAGTCCCAGGGGATCTGGAGTCTTCAACTTAACCTTTGTGGCATCTCATCACTCTCTTCCTAACAATGTTTCTTGGGAGCAGGAGGCTGGCCTTCGGCCTTCTCCCACCAGGTCACAACACTTAGAGCTTCCGTCACAGCTCCCTATCTAGACTGTGCCCAGCACTGTGCCACCCACAGCCCTCTCCCGACCCCATCTGATGGGGCAGGCCTGTGTCCCAGGCTCCTCTGCTCCTAAGTCACTGGTGCCCCTAAACCCCGCTTCCCCTCCAGTTACAGACTTCCCCAGTCAGGCCCTCAGGGGGTCCCATAGCAGCCGATGGAAGCCAACCTCTGGCTCTTTCAGCAGCGCCCCTCAGAGTGTGCTTCCTGGCTCTAAAGGGCTTCACCCCAAAGCCACAGTGTGAGTCAGGGCTAAAACCTGGGCGTCCTAGGTCAGGGCAACCTTGGGGTATGAGGTACTCCAGCCCCTGCGCATGCCCCTCTCTACGGCAGGAGCTTGTCCTTCCTTTCTTTCTATTTTGGGGGGAAGTTTTTTTTGGGGGGGTCACACCTGGGCTGGAGCGATAGCACAGCGGGTAGGGTGTTTGCCTTGCATGCGGCCGACCTGGGTTCGATTCCCCCACCCCTCTCAGAGGTCCCGGCAAGCTACCGAGAGTATCCCACCCGCACAGCATAGCCTGGCAAGCTACCCATGGTGTATTTGATATGCCAACAACAGTAATGACAAGTCTCACAATTTGTTGTGAGATGTTACTGGTGCCCGCTCAAGCAAATCGATGAACAACGGGAGGACAGTGCTATATAGACAGTGCTATATGGGTCACACCTAAAAAGCTTAGGGATTACTCCTGGCTCTGCACTCAGGAGTTATTCCTGGCGTTGCTTGGGTGACCACATGGGATGCCAGGGATCAAACCTAGGTTGGCCGTGTGCAAGGCGAATGCCCTATCTGCTATACTATCACTCTAGCCCATATTTTGACTCTTTTTTAAAAACTTTTTTAATGAAACACCATGAGATACAATTACAGACTTACACACTTTCGTGATTGCGTTTCAGTTATACAATGGTCGAGTACCCATCCCTCCACCCGTGCCCAACAATGTTCCCAGTATCCCTCCCACCCCCACCCCAACCCTCACCCCCACCCCCACCCCGTCTCTGTTGCAGACACATTCCCTTTTACCCTCTCTCTCCTTTTGGGTGTTATGGTTTGCAATACAGGTAATAAGTGGCCATCATGAACGGTCTATAGTCTACTTTCAGTATGTATCTCCCATCCCGAGCATTCTTTGTCTAGCCCATATTTTGGGGGGAAGTTACTGGGCCACAGCCCGGAGGTACTCAGGACTTAACTCCTGCCTCTGTGCTCAGAGATCACTCCTGGCTTGGCTCCAGGGTCCATGTGCGATGCTGGGGATGCTGGGAGTGCAAGCTAAATCCTTCACCCCTGTACTATCTCTCAGCCCTACAGATGCTTTTTCTGACTGAGACCTGGAGGTAGTCCCTGACTACCTGGCTTCAGCTCTGGAAGCTTCTGTGGGAGCCAGAGTGTTGTGGAACACATTCTCCGCTTGCCCCACCACTGGCTCTCCCTACTCCCGTGGGCCTGCTGGGGGATAACAGGAACAATGAAATCACTTTTGTGCTGAGGTTCGCCTTCCTGAGCCTGCCAACCAAGCACTCACCGAGTGGACAGAACGCGCAGGGCTTGGGGCTGGGCGTCCTAGCATCATATTGACAATCCTCAGCCAGCCACTTCCCCCAGAAGGATTTTTCCATTAGATTTCAGAAATTTGCTCATGCCTTTGGCAGCTTCTCCGAAGAAGGCAAATGCCAGGATGGTGCCCTGGGATGCTGCAGAAAGCAGATCCCAGGACTCAGCTTGGGGCTGAGGAGTGAAGGGGGAAGTGCTGAAGGAAATATGGAATGTACAGAGGAAAAAGCCTGAGGCAGAGCTACCACAGGCTGGTACTGGACTTCAGACCATCCTGGTTCTGCCTCATCTCTCAGCTCGCTGACCCTGATCAAGTTTAGCCCACTTCTGTGTCTCCACGATGGTGGTGGTGATGCCAAGGGCACCCGCCAGGAGGGTTGTTCTGAGGGGTGATACAGTAACTCTGCACCCATGTCCCGGGAAGCACGTCACCATTCCTAAATGACTTCCTTTTGTTGCAGGGGGTGCGACACCCATGAACTCCAGGCAGGAGCTTTGAGGCTGGGCAGTAAAAGCCAATCATAAACTGCCAGACACTGGCAGTCTTGGGAAAAAGTGGAGGATGGCCTTTGACTTCCACCTGACAGTGCTGGCTTTCTCCCCGCTGTGGCTGGCACTGCTGAGGAGCTCCTAGGGACTTTGACTACTTCCCCTTCAGCCCACTTCCCCGCCCAGAGCTTCTCTCCCATGGCCCCTACTCCCCCTCACTGGAATCTACCTCACTCACTCTCCTCTGCCTATATATTGGGGTCCTAGCTCCCCAGGTGACAAATCAAAGAACACATGTAACTTGCTTCATCTCTGAAAGTCTCTCAAATCCAGGTCCCTCTTTCTGCATAGCTGTGTGGCTGCAGAGAATTGATACCTCCCTTCCTTTCCTCTCCCTTATGTGGCCACCATACCTTCTTCCTTCCTCAAACCACCCTGTTAGGCCTGTGATGTCCAAAATTCAGGGGTCATTTCTAGGCCTCCTGCCTGACCCCAGTCCCAGCAGGTGGGATGGGGACAGCCGTAAGCTTCTAGCTCTAGATCCCCATGACTGGATGCAGTCTGGGCTTTGCTCTGGACACCTATCAGAGTTAACATTTCCTGGGAGTCCCCATTTCTTCACCTGAGAATGGGCATGTAAGAGCCATCTTGCTCACTGGTGAGGTAGCATGTGACTGACCTGCTCTGAACAGGTCCAATCTGCCATCCTGATGTCCACATGGCACTTTTCTGTGCTGGTAACTTGATGACCTCCCCATGCCAACCCTCTGGACCTCCAGAGACAGAAACTACAGGTCTCATGTTCATAGGGACCCCAGAGAAGTTTATGAAATCAACAAAAGAAGGAGTACAGAAATTCCCTTAGCAAACTGTAAAGGGAAGGTGACTACCTCTGCTTATTTATTACGGTCATGAGTCTCAAATGACCCTAATTTCATTTGAGGCTCTAATGAGCCCTGCATTCATTCATTCATTCACTCATGTTACAAATAACTCACCACTGTAGTTGCAGCCTCAGCATTTTCTACAGTGTCTGGAATATACCAGATATTCGCTATTCACTGCTGACTGAATGAATGAAACACACCAGGACCATCTCTGGAGGCATATCAACAAATGACGCACACAAGGCACCTGGGGTTCAGTGGGATAAAGACAGGCTCTGGGAAAGTGCTAGGAAGGAGATTAGAGGGTTTGGTGATACAGAAAAACAAGATGGAAAAGGAGAAAGCGAAGACTGGTCAGGGAGGGCACAAAGTTCTCAGAATGAATGGTTTGGACAAAGTCCCAAAGACTGAGCATGAGTCAGACCCCAGAAATTCAGGCAAGTACGTCTCTGCTGGAAGACAGTCTCAGGGAGGGGAGCGCTGGTGCCCATGAGAAACTGCCTGGTGGCTGGGCCAGTGAGCTGGGCGGAGGGGAGAACATCCGGCCTCTCCCTCTGTTAGTGAAGATGTGGATGCAGAGAGAGCCTATGGCGCTCCCAGGACCTCACAGCAGATGGGAAAGAAATGGACTCAAGGTGTTTGCCTTGTGCTCAGCCAACTCTGGTTTGATCTCTCATACCTTACAGGGTTCCTGGAGCATGTGCAGAAGTGAGGGGATCACTCAGGAAAGCACAAAACCAGGTGTGAGCCATGCAGGGGCCAGATCTGCCCCTTACCCCCAACAAAACAAACGAAGGAAGGAAGGAAGAAGGAAAGGGAAGGGGGGAGGGAGCAAGAGAAGGAGGAAGGGCCCTGGGTGGGTTGCACCTTTGCACCTGCTGCTGCTGTGGGGTTCAGGGTAGCACTAGGTGCTCCCCGAAGCTTGGAGGAGTGGAACGGGGCAGTGATCAATCCTTGTTCCCTATAAGGTAACTGGCTGGCGCTGTTACCTGGTATAGGTTCAGTGATGGAAGCCCTGGAGGTGCCTCACAGGAGATGCCACATAGCAGGGGTTCCAGGAGTAATGCAATGGACCCCTAGTTAGGGAGGGATGGTCCCTGCACACTGAGGGGCTGGACAGACAGAGACCCTGGGCACGATAAGGAAGCCCAGGAATTCAGGGAGAAGATTACAGGCTTGTAGAAGGACGAGGAGGAGGAGTAGGAGGAGGAGGAGGAACTGAGCCTGGCGGCATCTCCCCTGCCCTTTGTATAATCACCAGCTCCCATTTGGGTAAATAAACAGAAACTCTGGTTGAAGAAATCCAAGCGGGACTGCAGGAGACAGTCCTTAGTCACCAAGGCGGGGAGTAGGGGTGGGGGGGGATTGGGGGGGTGTCTCACCCCTTCCTGAAGCAGCACATTCCTCCTGGGCAGGAACTGCCGGGCAACCTTCCTCCCCTCTCTAGTCCGCTCCCCGCTGGGGTCCCAGAAAAGTTTCCCCAGGCTCCCTACGTCACCCCAAGTTTGGGAGAACTCCAGAGGCCACACACTCCCTGGCTTGAAGGAACTTGTGCGTCTCCGGCCCCTGCTAAGAAGGCGTGTGCGGGAGGGAGGATGCCAGAGGGGCCAGGTCGGCCCACCCCCCTCCCCCGCGGCCGCGGGCACCCAGGACACTGCGGGGGCATGGGGCGCGCGGCCTCTCGGAGGGGACGCGCCGTGCCCGCCCGCCCCGCAGCGCCCGCGCGCCGCCCCTGCCCTGCCCGGGCATCCTGCCCGCGCGTCCTACCGTGGGCCGCTTCCACTCGATGCCGCGGGTCTTGCTGGAGTGCGGCCCCAGCTCCTTGAAGCCTAGCGCCGACGGGATGGCCGGGAAGGAGGGGTCCTGGAACAGCGTCCCCGCTTCCAGGCACTCGTCCCGCAGCTGCTCGTAGTCCTGGTTGAGGTACTTGATGGCCCGCTCGTGCGAGCCCAGCCCCTCGGCTGCCTCGCGGTCCCTCAGCAGCTTGGCCGCGATGCCCGCCATGGTGCCCGGCTCGGGGTGTGCGCGCGGGGCAGGGCGCGGGGCAGGGCACGGGGCAGGGCGCGGGCGGGGCACGGCGGGCCGGCTCCGCAACGGGACTGCGCGGCGCGGGGCCGCTGATTCAGCCCCGGAGCGCCCGCCTGCCCGGGGTGTGGCCTCGGCGCGGCCTGCGCCGCCCGGCCCGGCTCGGACGCTGCTGCCCCCTGCGGACGGCCGGGCCCGGGACGAGCCCTGGCGGTGGACACAAGTGGAGCCATTTGCAAACGGAGTTCGGCGCAGCGACTGTCCGCGGAGGCCGCCCGTGTCCGAACCGTTACAACCATGGTCCCTAAATTCCTCCCCCCCCCTCTTTTCTTAAAGCTGCTTAAAGAAATGAAAATAAAAATAAAAATAAATTAAATAAAATAAGTCCAAAGGGGCTGGAGCGATAGTACAGCGGATAGGGTGTTTGCCTTGCACGCAGCCGACCCGGGTTCGATTCCCAGCATCCCATATGGTCCCCCTCAGGAGTAATTCCTGAGTGCAAAACCAGGAGTAACCCCTGTACATTGCCAGCTGTGAACCAAAAGGCCAATAAATGAATAGATAAAAATTAAAAATAAATAAGCACAAATGAAACTGGGAACAGAGCAATAGTACAGCGGGTAGGGTGTTTGCCTTGGGCGCTGTCAACTTGGGTTGGATCCCTGACACCTCGTATGATCTCCCTGCACGCACCAGGAATGATCTCTGAGTTGCAGAGCCAGGAATAGCCCTTGTGTACCGCCGGGGGGATGCTCCAACCTCCCACCCCCACAAAAAGGAAACATAAATAAAGTTAAAATGAATGAATGAAGTTGAAAGTGAATGAATAAATCAATTGAAGCTACAAGGAATGACTGAATGGATGAATGACAAGGAAGCCTGGTGGTGGGGGATAGGGGCTCCTGCTTTGCCAGGGTGAGGGTCCCGCAGGCAGCCCCCCACTCCCGCATACCCCAGCACCCTTCTGCTGGGATCCACCCTCCCTGCTGGGATGCCCCTTGCCACAGCAGGGTATGCTGACTGGCCACAGCGCACCAAGTGCGCGTGTGAGCAGCAACTGGAGTGTGAGAGCGCCTGCGAGCATAAAAAATTAGAGCTGTGAAGACTCCACAACCAGGCTTGAGCGTGGAGGGGATGGGGATGGGGGTGGGGAGCACACACAGCAAAAGGGAGGAATTTGGAAGCCAGTGAAAGTTCTGGGTGGCACTTGGGAGAAACTGCCTTACCTCCCAGACCAGAGTGGACTTTCAGCTTGGGACCCCTTTGTTTGACTGACTCACAAAACGGAGCAGTGAAATCTTCCTCAGCACTAGTGACCTCCTTTCCATGGGAACACGGGCCTTTTGGGGTCAGAGCCATAGTATAACCCGGAGAGTGCTGTCTCGCAGCACCGGACAGGGTTCTATCCCTGGCATCCCATGGGGTACTCCAACCGCCCCAGGAGTCAGCCCTGAGCACAGCTGGGTATGGCCAACCCCCAAAAATCAAACAAAACAAACATTGGCCTTTTGTTTCTCCTCAGAACACACTGTGTGTTTCTACCCAAAATTGTGCTCCCCACGTTAGGACTGCTTATTCCCCACGCAGCTCTGGAAGGCCTCCACTTGGCCCTTTCTTGATTTCAGGTTGCCTGGATACTCTGTGGAGCCCCAGGCCAGCTCTGCAGCTCTCCAGGAAACACCCTGTGAGTCAGTAGTTCAGGAAGTGGAACTTAAGAGACAAAAATAGCTGCCATCATTTGGGGCGTTGACGTGGGGCCTCAACACTCTCCTAAAGGCTTTGCATTGTTCCCTCAGGAATCCTCTCAGTCACCCCACTTTACAGCAGTGGAATGTAGCACCTGGGGGCTTAGTGACATTTCCCATGGAGTCAAATGTGCAATGGAGATTCTCAGCCTCTGGGATTTTAATTTTTGCATAGACTTTCATTTAAAAAGGGCTAGTTGTTAGTCTGAAACTCAAATTCAACAAGAAGGACAGATTCTACATTGGTGGAGCATTTAGAATGATGACTGAGGTAGGGGCCACAGTGATCCCCCATTAAGCAGCTGCAAGATAGTGTCAGCTCATGTGCAGAGAAACGGGTGTGTGCCTGCAAGCAACTGAAAGATAGAACCTTTTGCTAGGGAGAATCCATGTCAAACAGGCTAAGTTGTGCTTCTCTGCTTTGTGGCATGTGGGAGTGAGGGTCATAGCCGGCAGTGCCCAGGGGCCATTCCTGGCTCTATTCTCACGAGTGATCCCTGTCAGTTCTTTGACCATGCGTGGTGCAGGGGATTCAAACCATGAGCAAACACATGCAAGGCAAATGCCTCAAGCCCTGCACTCGCTCCAATCTCCAGCCTGGAAACTATGCATTGTTTAGAGCTCTGGATCTTAACTAGCACAGATTTTCCCCTTCTACCCCACCCAGGGAGATTTGTCATTGTTTGGAAAAGTTTGCTGTCCTGACTGGAGGAAGGAATGTGGTGACTCTCACAAACCCAGGGCAGGCTACTCCCACCCCCAACACAGAACTAAACAGTTCCAGACCTCAGTCTAGTCCAGGCTGAAAAGCCCTAGTTTACTTGTTATCCAATTCCAGCTTTTCTTTGTTACAGAGTCATTTCCAACTCACCATTCCAAGGCAAAACCATTTTTCTGTAGATTTGCAAGTGAATTTTATCCAGCATAGGGACTTTTCTCCCTACTATGGAGATAGCAGTGCTGCATCCGTTGGCCTTGTTATTTTATGTTTCCAATGGGGAATTTATTGATTTACCATCGGTTCACAATACAAGTTTCAGGAGTACAGCCTCACACCTCTCCGTGTGTCTGAGCTTCCTAACACCCAGCAACGCCACTATATTTTCTTTTTTAGCTACTGACTCTATTCCCTCTTCAAAAATATAATTTAAAAATTTTCATCATGTTGATTTAAATGGGTTAGTAATAGGGTTACTATTACTGCACACAAAGTTCCACATCCTCCACCAGAATGACCACTTCCCTTTACCATTGTCTCTGGGTTCCCTCCCCACAACTCTGCAATCTCCCTGCCAGAGAAAACTAAAATCTGTAGAGCAGTTCCTAGGTTGGCTTGCCTTTGGCTCTTTATTACTCCCTTTCTATATATTTTTTTTGTATCCCACATATGACAGAGCTCATTCTGTGACTGTCCTTCTCTTTCTGACTGACTTCCCTCAGCATGAGATGGAACTCTCAGCATGGACGGAACCCTTCAGTTCCATCCATGTAGTGGCAAATTACATGATTTCTTCTTTTCTGATGATCAAGTAATATTCCATTGTGTATATGTACCATACTTTCTTCTTCTATTAAAAAATTGAATCACTGTGAGATACAGTTACAAAGTTGTTCAGGACTGGATTTCAGTCATACAAAGTTCCAACACCCAGTTCCTTCAGCAGTGTACATTTCCCACCACCAATATCCCCAGCTTTTCTCCTGCCATGCCCTACATGTCCCACCCCACCCCTACCCTAGCCCGCGGACCTACCAGCCTGCCTCTGTGGCAGGCACTTTTCTTCTTTCTCTTGTTCTCTTCTTGCTCTCTTTTTCCTCTTGAACATTAGAGTTTGCAATACATCACTTTTTTTTTACCTACTTTCAGCACTCAGTTCTTATCCAGAGTAATCATTTCCAACTATCATAGTCTTAGTGTACTATATTTCTTTATCCCATCACCTGTCCTTGGACACTTGGTCTGTTTCCAGATTTTGGTATTGTGAATAGTGCTTCAATGAACATAAGCATGCACATATCTTTCTGAATAGTTTTTGCTATTATTGTTGTTTGACTATTTTTATTAATGTACTGGGATTTACAGTTCTGTTTATTTATACTTCTCATATATCATTCATACCCTACACCCATCCCCAGAGAGCTTGCTTTCCTCCACTGATACCACAAGTCCCCTCTAAGCCAACCAACATCCCTTCCCATGTAAGCTCAGTTCTATAGGCAAAATATATAGGCAGTTCCAATGACTTTGGCTGTTTGTTGTTTCCTTACTATGTTTCTTTATATTCCATATATGAGAGAGAACTTTTAGTTTTTATTGAGGAAGTGGTGACACCTACATGCATAAAGATGAATAAAGCAAACCCTTGAGGCTAGAGTAACAGTATAGCTGGTAGGGCACTTGCCTTGCATGTGGCTTAGTGGGGTTTGATCTTACAGCACTACATATGATCCCCTGGGCCCCACCAGGATGATCCCTAAGTGTAGAGCTAGGAGTAAGCCCTTAACATTGCCAGGTATGGCCACAAACCAAATAAATAAACAAATAAATAAAGCTAAGCTCTTGAAATTCCACAAAATTGTATAGCAAAGATAAATTGATATTTAAAAAATGCATATATTAAAATATGTATATTTTTACAGGTATATAAATTTAAAAATTAAAATATGAATAATTCTACACTAATAAAATTTAAAATTCACATGAAATAGATAAATCCTACAAATATATAATTTAGTAAGATTGAGAAAAAGAGAATTTAAAATTTTTTTTTTTTTTTTTTTTTGGCTTGGCTTTTCTTTATTGAACTTGGTAGATTTTTTTTTTCCCTCCAAATTCTTTTTTTTTTTTTTTCCCCTTTATTTTATTTTATTTTTTTTAAAGTTGTAGATTTACAATTTTTTGTGCTTTGGTTTCAATTATACAATGATCAGATACCCATCCCTCCACCAGTGCCCATTTTCCACCACCATGGATAATATCCCTCCCACCCCCATCCCCCCGTCTCTGTGGCAGGGCAATCCCCTGTGTTCTCTCTCTCCTTTTGGGTGTTGTGGTCTGCAAAAGAGGCATTGAGTGGCAAACATGTTCAGTCCATAGTCTACTTTCGACATGCATCTCCCCTCCTGGGAGGATCCTCCAAACATCCTTTATTTGGTGCTCCCTTCTCTATCTGAATAGCCCTTTCCTCTAGGATACCCGGCTGGCCTCTAAGTTATGGAGTAATCCTCCTGGTGCTGATCTCAGCTAGAGAATTTAAAATTTTTTCAGGGAAAGTCTGAATAGAGCGATAGCACAGCGGTAGGGCGTTCGCCTTACAAGCGGCCAACAT